GTACGTGCTCAGAGCTCCGCGGAAGCGAATGGTAGCTCAGGAGCCAATGTTTCCGCAGTAAAGACCGAGCCTCAAGCTCCCTTTGACGAAGGGTGGGAGTTTGACCTCCCTGTACCAATCCTATATGATCAGCCCCCCCAGGACTGGATCGAATGGCACCATAGCACCGCGCGGATGTGTAAGGCTTTGCTAGATGAACTCGGTGAGGCTTCCGGGGATGATGGGTGTCTAGTTCAGGTCGCTTCCCAGTTAAGGTTGGAGGAGGCTAGGAAGGAATGGTTGGAGAAGGTGTTGATTGAGGGTCAAGCGGAGGCTGAGTGTTTGGGGGCGATTAAGGCCTTAGGGGTTGAGATACCTTTGAGGGAGCAGCCGGAGTCTGGTGGAGAACAGTTCTTGCAAACTAGAAATGTGAGTTTGGGAGAAGCCCGGCGGGAGCTAAATAAGTGGAAGGATTCGGCCCTAGAGGAGGTTGTAAGTTTAGAGGAAACGAACCGGGCTGTAGATAGGGTACTAGCTGCTGAGGTAGACCAGTGGGCCAGGGATGGCATTTCTGTAGTGCAATTGCCAGGTAAGGCAGTTTTAACGCGCAAGGCCGGTACAGGCAAACGGCGCTGCCGCGCCGTGTGCTGTGGCAATTACCTGCCGACTGAAAAACTGGGATTGACACGGGAAGAGTTGTATGCCTCAGGGGCGGAGGCCCTATCTGTAAAGGTAGCGGTAATTTTCGCGGCTAGTCATTCCAGTTGGACCGGGGTGACAATAGACGTTAAATCTGCATTCCTTTATGCCCCTATTCGGGAGGAGCATAATGGTAAGGAGGAGCGGATCATAGTGAAGCCCCCAGGGTTTCTAGTTGAACTAGGAATTCTGAATGCGAATCATCGGTGGTGGATTCGCAAGGCTTTGTATGGACTGCCCACCTCACCCCGTGATTGGGGTCGTTACCGCGATGGTGAGTTCCGGAAATTCAAGATTGAGTACGAAGGGGGAATCTATCAGCTGTTCCAGGCGAAGTCCGATGATGCCTTATGGCTGGTGCGAAGGGTTGCAGCTGACTATCAGGGCGAGGTTGCCGGGATACTCGTTGTCTATGTTGATGATTTGGCCTTCTTTGCTGAAGCTGGCCTGGCGAAGCAGTTCATTGCTACCGTGCGTACTTTGTGGAAAACTTCAGACCCGGAGTGGCTGGGGGAGTCACCAGTGACTTTCTGTGGAGTTGAGTTGACCAAAACTCCGCTTGGATATCGACTGGCCCAAGGCGCGTACATAAGGGAATTGCTTCAAAGGTACAACATTCAGGAAGATGCCGGAGTGCCGCTGGTGAAGTGGACGGAGCCCGAGGCGACGGGTGAGGCAACCGGAGATCTGATTCGGGAGGCTCAGGCCATAACCGGAGCACTGCTTTGGGTTTCTACGCGCACTCGGCCTGATATCTCGTATGTGGTGTCACGGTGCGGGCAGCAAGCCACTAAGGTTCCCCAGGTGTCAATTAACATGGGGTTGCAAACCCTTCGGTATCTGCGATCTACGCAAGAGTTTGGCATTGAAATACCGTTCGCCATCGGGAGTCCTTTTTCGGAGCATGGCCTGCTTTCGGCACCGCGGTCGAATAAGCTTCTAGAACTGTATACCGATGCCTCACATAGTCCCGGAGGGGAGCGGTCGATGCAAGCTGTGTATATCTTATGGCGGGGGGTTCCTGTAGCATGGGAGTCGACACGACAACCATTCACCACCCTTAGTTCTGCAGAGGCAGAGCTAGTTTGTATGGTGCACGGTGTGCAGCTGTGTGAGTCTGTTCAGCCGCTTGTAGACGAGTTGATAGAGGATGACTCTGTTATTGGTTTGCATGCGGACAACGAGGCCGCGGTAAGAGCTTTTGATTCCGTGAGTGCGGGGTGGCGGAACAGACATCTCCGCATGCGTGCCATAGCATGCAGGGAGCGTGTTGATGCGGGGCTTTTGCGTGTCACGCATCTCCCAGGGGAATTCCAAATCGCTGATCTAGGCACAAAGCCGTTGTCTAGGTCTAGGATAGTTCACCTGTTGGGGCTTATTAACATTCGGGAGTCTCGGAAGTTGGATCCCCAGGGGTTTTCTGCAAGAGTCCTTAGCCGTGGTGCGTTTAGGAACACTCCTGAAGCTAATGCTGAAGTGCTGGCAGGCTTGGCTCTGTTGGCGTTGATACCGCGAGTGAATGGACAGCCTCATGGTGCCCAGATTTCTGAAGGAATAAGTTGGGTTGAGTGGGTTGTGGTAGCCCTAGTGACTGGTTGTTGTCTACTCTGGGGTAGCTGGTTCTTGGGCGGCTATCTGGGAACCGAAAGTAGTTTCGGCACTTCAGAAGAAGGGCCCGGGTCTGTAGTAGTTCCTGGACCGGAGAGTGCTGGGACTGGGGATCGGGATTCGGAAGGTGACGAGTCCTCCCGGTTTAGTGAGGCGCAGGCTGGGTTAAGGGATGCTGAGTTGCGTTCAGGGCTTACCTTAGTTCAACGGGCGAGACTTAGGAAGCAGTTAGCTGCTGGAGAAACCGTAGACGTTCCTCCGTTTCTACAACGCTATGGCCCTGCTCCTGATTGGGCCACAAGGCCAGACGCCGGAAGGGCATCTTCGAGTAACCACCCTGTCGGGTTTCAAGGGTCTAGGATGCTAGTGTTCCTACTGGTCAATCAGGGAGATCTGTTTGTAGCCTGTTTGGGAGTGCAAGCCAGGGTTTGGATACACCTAAGGTGGGCTAACAAGGGGTTTCACGGAAGCCCTGTCTTGGGACTTTTAGGTCAAGTGCGTGACACTGGTGTTTCGCAAGAAGAGTTTGAGGACCAGACATGGGAAGTGGAATTTCAGATATGCCCAACAGAACGAGGGTTTGTTTGGAAACCGTTGAGGCT